ATGTTTAAATTGTAGCATCAACTTTTTTTTATTGAAGTATAATTGATTTACAATGTTTGTTTCAGGTGTACAGCAAAGTAATTCAGTTATACATATATATACTTTTTTTTCAGATTTTTTTCCCCATTATATGTTATTACAAGAAATTGAGCATAGCTCCCTGTGCAATACAGTAGGTCCTTGTTGTTCATCTATAGCACCAACTTCTTAAAATAGAGTGTTCCCCGTGTGTAACAAGTTCATCTCTATGTTAGTGGCCATGGACACATGGGGGGAGGCGGGGCAGGGTACCCCGTGAGGAGGAAGTCACAGGAGCTGGGCGGAAAGACCGCAGACCCAGTCTGTCCTAGGTGGGACACCAAGCTGACAACAAGCAGCTGACCTTGTGGGAAAGCAGCCACAATCTGGGCAGCAGACCTCAGGCAAAGAGCCCAGCGCCCCACTCTGAGCCTCCAAAGGAGAGTGTCGGGGAAGGCGGGCTTCCCGTTCTCTGTGAGTGGGACACGCAGGAGGGAAAGGCATCGGCGGGCTAGCATTCGACAGAGGGGTTTTCACACTCACCGAGGTGGGACGATCTGCTTTGTTGCTCGGCGAGTCCCGGGGTGATGAGGCTTTGCCCCGTCCTCTCCAGAGAAGATGGTACTGCCCACCTCATTTCCCTTGCTCTACACACATCCGGTTTAATCATGTGGATTAATCTGTCAATAGGCTGAGCCAAGCAGAAGCCAAGGAGAGATGGTACCGCCCAGCCCCGCCGTGGTTGGAAGCGGGCAGGCGAGTGACCTGTCGGTAATTTCTCAGCTGTTGAAAGTTTTTTTTTAACTATTTTAAAAACAAACTAATAAACAAAACCCCCCAAAACAACCAAGTTAAAATCTACCTATTTGAAGGCAATAATAAGATAGATTGAAAATGAATAAATAAAGTCAGTGCCTGGGAGCCCCCAGGATCCCAGAGGCAGCTCACCCTAATTCCCTTCCTGGTCCGTGGCATTCAAAATGAGTAAAGCTTGCATTTCTTAATATTTTGTTTGTGCAAAGCCTGTTCCCGGTGTTTTGTGTGTATCACGCGTTCAGTCCATGCGACTATCCTGTGCTTGTCATCCCCATTTTACAGTGAGGACGCTGGCGCCCAAGGTTAGGTAACATTCCCGGGGTGACTCAGCCAGGAAGTGGTGGATTGGAATTCAGACCCAGATCCCCTGCTCTCAACCCTGGTATGCAGTTCACATCTTCGGTAGAGAGTCTAGTCCAGCTGACCAGCCTGGGAAGAAATGCCTGGGTGTATTGCCAGTGCTTGCGTGCAAGTCTCGGGGAGGCCGGGATGGAGAGACAGTAGTAGAACTGAAAAGGAGTGACATCATTGTTGGTTGCTGTGTAATTAACTAATTTCGGTTAAACTTGGCCATCTTCTGATCATCAAAACACAGGCTATATTTAGGTGGACCAAGGGAGTGAAAAAGACAAGAAACTCTTCTATACAAATTCTTGGAAACCTTTCTTTGCTGCCTCCTCCTTGGTTTTAACTCCTGACCTCTCTCTGTTAAGATCTCATCGTCTTCTCAGAGGCAGTCCCTCTTTGTAATTCTCTGCAGCAGATGAGCTCTTGTGATGGCCTAAAAGATAGGCCTGTGCAGAAACATCAGGGGTGGTGATTCAGGGTGGTTGTAATGTGGAGAAGGTAAGGGCCTCCTCTCCCTGGAGCACCCTAGGGGGTCAGGAGCAGTGCACAAGGAACAGAAACTAACCTCTTGCCCCTCAACTTGCTGAAATGCATTTGGTTTTTCTGTTCCCATCACCTGGCAGCCTTTGTCTGGGACGATGAACTTTGTTCTTAATTTACTGATAGGAAAATGGCACAGATCGTCTCACTGTCATGTACCATAGTACATACACATTGACTAGATAACCTGTGTTAAGGAATGGTTAAGAGTCCTGTCAAAGAGAGAAACAAATGAATATTTAATTTCCTAAATGCTTAAGACAGCTGCCCTCAAGGCTGCATTTTGCTCTAAGTCTTATGCTTTAGTGCTTTTTTTTTTTCTTTAAACCAAAAGGATATGCCCAGCCTAAATCCCAGTTGCCACACCTTTAGAGTCAGAGAAAGGACAGAGAACCCGGCGGGAGGAGCACTGGAGAGCAGGGAGCAGATTACCTCACCGTGGGTTATCAGCACCCATTAGAATGCATGCCTCCAGGAATTGAAAATCTCTCCTGATGGCATTCTTTGCAATCCCAGAGCATGGCTCAGCAAGAATAAATACGGGCACCCTCCTCCCTGCCGGACCCTGCTCTCAGGGCCGGCCAAGGTAGAAGCAGACGGACCCCTAACCATGGTCACCACCTCTCTGCCGGGCCCCTCGTGGCCCGAAGCCTGCTTTTCTCTCTCCGGTCCGCTCGTTACCCAGCCTCAAGCCAGATGTGTGGAATGGAATGTGGTTTTCAGTGTGCAGTCACTCAGGTTTGGGTGCCAAGTAGAAATTGTGCAGCCACAGCTTTTTTTTCTCTGCGAGGTGGGAGCGTAGCCTTGCCGCTCCCAGCGGAGTTGAAGCTCGAGGTTTTGCAATTAAGCATTTCCAGGGCGTACGAAGGACGCCAGACCCAGCTCTCCTGAATCGACCTCACCTCGACTGTAAGTATGTTGTCTTGGTCGTCCGTGTGTCTGGATTGGTAAAGTAGATTTCTTGAGAAGAAAAAGAAGGAAGAAAACCTCTTGGGCTTCTGACACCTCATTCTTGTTGCCTTTGTCTGCGGTCAGTAGGAGGGAAGGGAGCCGGGGTTCTTGGGTTCTGGTCTGAGGAGTGAGCTTGGCACAGTGTGTCACTTTCTAGGTGTTGGCTTTATCACCTGAAACATCAGAGCTTTGGGATCAAATGATCTGTAAGATCACTCCTAACCCCCAAAGTCCGGAAATCTGTGATTCTGGTGCCCATGTAGAACTTGTGTCTCCCAGATCCCTGTGAGATTTTGCTGAGTGTGAGAACATTCAGAGGAGCTGGCCCAGGGTGGAGGGCGCCCTCGTCCTGATGGGACTTGAGCATTTGGCTAAGTGGCTCGACCCTTTCATTGTTAACGCTGGCGTACTAGACGTTCTGTGACCTGGAATGTTTGCCTGAGAACTGTCGTGCCTGCCAGAAATTTCACTGGATTCGAGTCTGCGGTTTACTGGCGTGGCTCGGCAGCCCCCAGAGCAGAAGCAGCATTCAGGAGTGAAATACTCTGCCTGTGAACCAACCAGCCTCCCTGATGCTAAATGCTTCCTTTGGAGGAAATAGCTTTTCCCTCTTGAAAATGAAAAAAAAGCGGTAGATTAGAGCTTGGCCTTCTCGTCTGTAGTTCACACTCTTTAGGGTCCTGTTCTTGACCAGCCTGGGCCACGTGATATGTGGTTTTAGGGCCCAGGCTCAAAAAAAAAAAAAACCAAAAAAAAAGCAAAACCTTTCTTCATCCTGTTGGTAACGTTCATGAAACTGCAGAACTAGAAAATGCTTCCTTGGGGTTTACCTGGGCTAATCATCTTGTCATTTTTAGTAAGTTCAGCTAAGGGTTGGTGGCTTGATCGGACATCTGCCTTCCCAATAGGCTGAGAGCATTGCAGAAGGTAGAAAAGGGTGGGAGGAGTGTGGAGAGGTCAGAGTCAGGAGGAGTGAGCAGCGCCACGGAGAGGCTCAGGCTCTTCCGTTGAACTAGAGCCCTGTCCTTCCGACCAGAGCAGGTGTGATTGGTGCCGCTGGGATTCGAGTTCCCTTGACGCCAGAGTCCACTCCTGCCATCTGCCTGCTGGGGGTTGGCCTGTGCTGGGACCACTTTTGTCAGGGCTCCTGCTGGACGGCACCCACCCTGTCTCCCACTCTGATTTCCAAATTGCTCTAAAGCCTGTAGGGTCTGGAGTCAATGATATTAATAGCACAACTGGATTTGAGCGCCGAGATGGTTCCCTGCCACTTTGCCAGTGCAGCGTTCCAGTGCGGGTAACAGGTGCTAACTCAATGTTTACTGAGGACGTGGCAGTTAGGACTGAGGCTGTATAAAAGCAGAAACAGACTCACAGACCTAGAAAACAGTTACGGTTACCAGAGGGGAAAGGGAGGTGGAGGGATAAAGTGAGAGTTTGGGATTTATCTGTACATAAAGTAAATAAATAGCAAGGTGCTGCTGTACAGCACAGGGAACTATATTCGGTACCTTATAATAGCCTATAGTGAAAAAGAATATGGAAAGGAATAAACATATATATGTATATATATGAGTCGCTATATTGTACACCAGAAATTAACACAACATTGTAAACAGACTATACTTCAGTTAAAAAAAGAAAAAAACAACTGAGGCTGTGTGTATGAATGAGCAGCAGCCACGTAGGGTTTCCACTGGGCCTGGAGGAACGGCAGAATGGGCAAGGTTACGGTCCAGGTCAGTGCCTGTCCGGTGGAGAAGGGCCTGAGCAGGGCTGTGCAGTCTCAGGGAAGGCTACATTAGCGGGCTTGCGGGGGTTCCTCTGAAAGTATTAGGATGTGTAATTATGGTCTCAAGCTGCCAAGGCTTGATTGGAATACAGCTGATACTCAGATAGCCTTTAAGCCAACCATGCCCGCCTACTCTTGCCTTCTTGAAAGGGAGCAATGCTCCTGTCTCATATCTGGTTTGTTTCATAATGCCAGTGCCTCTGGGTTTTTTGTTCACTGACTGTCTAAACTGACTTTTATACACTCATAATGCTAAAACTAAAAGTTTAATTGGTCATTTAACAAGGAAACTTACGTTCTTCTACAAAGCAAACTGCCTTCTCAAATGTAGCCCTTTGTTAGGAGGGAGGGTGCCGCCTCTGGGTCACAGGCTGTTGGTTCCAAGAGTCTTGTACTGAAGGAGGTGGAGCCCAGGGTTGGGGAACTTTGGATTCAGGTGTTAACCCTTTGAGGGGTAGCCTGGCATGCATCACAGACCACTTACCTGATCGTCTTCCATTCAGGCCATTAATCAGCTGCATGACTGACCATTCAGCGCCACTATGTTATTGCTGCTAATTTTTAAAAAATAAACTTTTGAAGCATGAGATACATAGACCAAAAAAACCCATGTGTGTACAACTCAGTGAGTTTTCCCAAACTGAACACACCTAAGAAGCTGCAGCCAGATCAAGAAGCAGAGCGTGGCCAGCCCCCAGCAGCCCACCTTGTGCCCCTTCAGTCTCACTGGCTCCAAAGGGTGACCTGACCACCAACACCTGAACCTGTTTCACCTGTTTTTGTGCTTTGTGCAAATGGAATCGTGCAGCGGGCACCCTATTGTGTCTGGCCGCTTTACCTAAGGATCATGTCTGTGAAGTTTGCCCGTGTTGTTGAGGATAGCTCCGGTCTGTTTTTTCCCATTGGGGTCCATTTTGCCGACTTCAAAATGGCAGATGTGGAAGCCCTGTTTCCATCAGTCATTCAGGGACATCCAGGCGAAAATAACTTAAAGGTTGAAAGTGCCAAACAATGTATTTTTGTAGTTTGGGAGGGAATAGACTTCAATGGAGTGGGGGGGAGAGCCAAAGGGTGTGGTCTCAAAAGTCAGGAAGAACGTGGC